GTATTTATGGTAAAGTGGGTAGGCAGTGCTTATTGCTTAATCCTTTGGAAGTCTTTGAACTGGTATTTCAGAAGGGTGACTGTTTTCTGTAAACTATAGAAACTATTGTTCCGTGTACTATGCAACTATTAATTTAACAAAAGATAGCTGCTTATTATCACAGAGTTTCCTACGGTACACTTTGTGAGATGAAAACTGGAAAAGGCGTGTCGTTTACAAAATAGAGCAGCAAAATGAGTTCTGTTACGAAAAACATGCTGCTAGAAATAGCTGTGATCCTATCTCCAAATATGTTCACAGTTGCAATAATTTAAGATAACAATCTAAATCCAAATTTTCTGAATTTATCGAATGTCATTAATTTTTACTTCGGAATACATAACCAGCTAGGGATCTGAATGTTACAACTCTTACTCCTGCACTTTAGGTTTTATATAAGCAATCTGGATTAAAGTAAGGATGAGGAAGTCAGGCATATCATATATAACTTAATATGCTCATCTAGTCAACCTGTGATTTTTTTTTTTAATTATTCTTTAATTCTTTATGTATATTTATTCTAGCCTGGTATGTGGTGAAGAGCAACTCAGAAATGTTTCGGTATTGAGTGGAATGCCATGATGTTGTTATCTGTTTCCACTTCAAATTTTTAAGGAATCAAGTGCAAATACTATTTCATAACTTATTCTTGAGATAAGTGTTGAGGATATGGCATATGCCGGAGGTGTTTTTATGAAAGCAACTAGTGGTGTTTTCTTGAAAATACTGCAGTGGACAAGTGGAAGGTTTTCTGTGAAATGGAACAAGTTCTAGCCTTTCTAGTATTGCTTTTTGGGAAGTAAATTAATTTGTGTGGCGTGAGGTGGGGTGGTCTGTGAGAGGAGGGAAGACAGAGTCTGATACTGTGGGTTTGGTTTTCTTTGGAATCTAGCATTCTCTGCAGTGTGTATCAACAGGCTTCCGACTGATATTTATTGCTGGGTCTGGGTGGACATGCAGCTAACAGATTGACCGTGAGATCCAAATTTGGATCTTATGCAGCATTAACCAAGTGACACACTAGGGTCAACAGTATACTTCACACCAGCATGTACACATTATGGTGCTGAGAAGCTTTTCTGATAGTTTTTTAAAATGAAAGGCTATTTGAATAGATATATAATATTTGAAAATAGCAAAACCTTAAATACATAGGCTGCAATTCTGTCAAAGTGTATCTGTGACAGCGGTATGAAAGTCAAACCCCTCTAGCGCTGCCCTGGGCTTCAGCATCGGGCGCGGGAAGGTGCACTCGCTTGCTGTCTTTTAATTGTTAGCTGTTAATTCATCTGTTAGGAAAAAGAAAAACTGTTTGCCTGAGTGACTTATGCCTAATGGAAGATGCTTTGTTTGTGGCTCAGTTCTTAGCTAAGTGTCATGCACCTGCAGTGCGGTGCCGGGATGCTGGCACCGAGCCCTGGCCCACTGTTCCTGGAAGGCAAAACCTCCAGCTGTGAGCCCGAGTGTGAGCAGATTCGGAGCTGTGGCCATATGGAGGCAAGGTGGTTCAGAGTACTCCGGGAGAGAGAGATGAGACGAAGCTGGCATTCAGCTATAGCCTGTATTTGTGAAGTGGCAGTTTGGATTCTGAAGAGTGTGTCTCAGTAGTAGGTGTGGTACCAAATCTGTAGGACTGTTTTATTGCATAATGTTGCTCTAAGGGAGCCTGACTGAATGAAACTGAAGAAGTAATTGAGCAGAATATTCAGAAAGGGCCGGGCTGGCCGTGGGCAAACTCTGCAGAGAGGTGGTAGAGACGGTCCCCTAGCTCCTTGCCGAAAATCCTCTTTGCAATAATTTTTTAGGGAATAAACACGCCATTCATTTTGACACAGTGACTCCTTTAAAACATTCAGAAGAGATGTGCTCACATAATAGTTTCGGGTTCTCTGCATTCTTGGTTTTGTTTGGGTTTCTTTCTTTTTCTGCTGTCTTCCTTTCCATAGCGTTTAACAGCAGCCATTCATCATTTCTTCTCTTGACAATGTCAAATTTTTGTTTTACTTGATTGTATCAACACACAACCAATCTTTCCTGTCTGTCTGAACCATCAAACATCAGCATCCCTGTCTTCTGAAAGATTAAGAAGTGTGTAAAGCACATGTCTAGAGGTTTTAGTTCTTCGTCAGTGTGAATATTGACAGCGTAAGGGCAGTAAACATGAAGTAGCTTAACTAAGAATTGAAAGAAACTTTTGGTAGTGTGCAACGGGCAGAACTGCAGACTATATTGCAGAGCACTGAATAACAAATCCCTAAACGAGTAGGTCTGTACCAAAATGCTGGACAAAAATGGAAGTACACCATATGTTACGGGCTTTAAAATTCAGAACAGCAATTGGAGCTATAAAATGGGAAGCAACGTACCTGGGGAAAAGCAGGGGAGGCACCAGATAATGTTTTCTGTAGGACACCGGAGGCTTGTGTGTGATTCTGTAAATTATCTGAACTGTAAATTATCTACAACTCTTGAGTGGCAGAATTAAGCAGAAGGAAACTCAGCCAGGTCAAAGCAACGTAAGAACATGAATGTTCTCATCTTGATGTATGAATGGTTGGATTACTCATCTATTGTATGTCTTGGTTTTTTACAGAAGTAATTGATATAAGGCTTAGTGTTTTCAGAGCTGGGAGATCAGGGTATGAGATGAGTCAGTAAGAAATGCCTAGCAACTAGGACTGGAGGGGCTCAACTGCATGGAGAGCCATCGGAGATGGGTGGCATTTGCAGGGTGATAAAGGCAAGCCAGGAAGGATTCAGGCTTCCTGTAGAACTGGACAAATACTTGAATTTCAAAATTCTGATGGTTTTTTGCTGTCATTTAAACTAGAAGTTTACACCACAAGAGAAGTTTTGTGAATTTTTTTTTCCAGCATGCTTTTTTTAACATATATATATATATATGCTTCTAGCTTTTGACACTATTTTCTCAGTAGCCTTGTAGCACAGCAAAATTGCCATGAATTCTATTATACTGTGTGAAAGAGAGTATTGCAGCATTTTTTAAGAGCTCAGGTGAGTCTGGAAAAGGTGCTTTAGTTGGCAGGTATAGTTAGTGATTTGGCCTCCCCTCCTTCATCTGGATGGATGATTTTCTTGATCATTGCATTATCAAATGCTTCATGTACATAAGTAACATTAAAAACATCTGTTGTTGTTGTTATTATTATTGTTGTTGTTGTTATTATACTAGAGCCTATTATTCATGCTATACCAGAGCCTGAAAATGCTAACTTAGAGACAGATCTTGATTTAAAGAATAAGCAAGTCATCCCAAATCTTCAGGGACAGACAGGATGAAATAAATAGCATGATAAGATTAGTGTGTATTCAACTGAGGACACCGTTTATCCATAGACTAGTATTACTTCTAGACTACAAATACCTCATTGTATTTCCAAAACTTCAACGGATATTTACACAAGCTAAAATACTTCCCAGTCCAGAAGAGTTGCATGCACTTCAATAGTCCGCCCTTCCTCATTCTTTTCTTCAGTAATTGCACTGAAGAAAAAAAAAAAGCCACTAATTCAATGGCTTGGTTTCAGTTTCTCTGACTCAGGTGTTTTAAGCCAGTGGGATTTAAAATTCATTATTTTATTCCTGATAACTGAGCCACTTCCTTAATTTCTATTACCTTTGAGTGTAACTAAGTGAATTATTTCATTTGTGCAATTGCAGGCGTACTACCTTTGGCACAGGGCTAGTGGATATCTTGGGTGTGCTTCCTAGAGCAGCCTGACATGCAGAGGAACACCCAGTACTGTGTTTTGCAGAATATGTTGTATTTCTCCCTATTTTGTCACATAAGAAAAGCATTGTTGTTTTGTGTATAGCACGGGCTTACGTTGCTCCTGAGTCCTCGCAGAGTGCATGTCGGAAAGGGATTTCTCTTGCAAGGTGGTGTCTTCTGTAACATTTCGGAGTCCCATGCTGCACTGATTGTGATAGCACTTCTAATGACCATGTGAAAAGGTTGTTTCACCCTCAGGTTATTCAAGTGCAAACCCCACTGCTGCTTAAATAGGAGAGCTGTGTGTTGTTCTGGTTAGGAGCATCCAAAATTTAAATGAAATCTGTGGTGAAGAAAAGATCCACGCTTAGAAGAATAAAAGAGCATACTACCTAGAAATAATATTCAGGGACAAATTCCTTTCATTCAGCCATCTGTTATTTATGGGTAGTGGTATGGTGAACTGCTGCTAACTTCTAGTCAGTGTGCTTTAATATAGTGTATGGATAAATTATATATGTATATAATTATGATAGCTATATATAAACCCAATAAGATGTTAAACATAATATAGAAAAAGGTAGGAATGTAAGACCATCCTATTCAGTTTGAGTTAGCAATACTCCTTCTGAGCAGTTGACTTGCCAGAAGGAAGCAAATTTTCTCACTCCCTATTTGAAATCACTGTTTTCCAGGGAACAATTGGACAATCCCACGTTTTGTCAGGAATCTCACCAAAACAAGGTGTCTTGCCCTCAGTGGCGAACTACAGTGTTTGGGAAACTTGGAGTTATTTATTGGTTGTAATTATTTTTATAGGCCCTACCAAAAACACTAAGTACATGAAAGATCTGATTATGATCTCGCACATAGATTAGGAATAATTTTTTCTTCAAGGAAAGATTTTAAACCATGTAAGTTTTGAATAAAATTTAAAGCAAAATGATGATCGAAAAGAGATGGCAGCATCTCATATCGGCAGGTACCTACCTCTGTACAGGTACAGCAGACAGCAAAAAAATGATTCTTAGAGAAACATTGTAAAATAGTGTTCCAATTTTAACAGTGATTATCCTGAAGTTGCTTATAGTTTTCGGATTCTACGGGGAAAACAACCAGAAAGTGGCTAATGGCAGTTACCGTGTTAGATATTGCTGATTTTCTTGAGATCTGCATGGCCTTTTTCCTTTCTTTTCCATAATTAAAATACAGTTGATGATTTCCACAGCTACAGTCTTTCTAGAGTTTTGGAAAAGACGGAGAGCTGTATTAACCTATGACTGGGACCTCATAGACTGGGAAGATGAAGAGGTAAGACTAAACACAGGTAAACCTGTAAATCTTGCTGTCAGCATGATTTAAGTGTAAATATCAATTATTGGCATTGTATGCCAGTAATCTGAATTTGTCATCCAGATGGTATTTTTATTTATAACCCTAGTTGCAGAATAAACAAGTATATTTGAGACTATGCAAGGATACTTTGCTTTCTGCAACTAGTACTATAATTCCAAGTACAGTTGTACATTTATTAAAAGTATCCTTTGAAAAATTGAGTGGAAATACTGCCCATACAACGGACAGGAGCTACTAGTGGTGTCAGCACTGATGCCTTTCAATTCTATAGTTTCTTGTACTGGAAATTCCTTATCCTGCCTAAAACCAGGATGAGCAAAGGGACAGAATCTAGATTTTCATATCTTTCTGAGACACATAACTTATCCTTTAACATTCTGCTTTAATATCTTTTAACATCAGCAATAATCAAATGATTTTATTACTTTACTTCATAAATCACTAGTGAGTATAGCTGCAATTGAACTGTACTAGTGATTCAAATGCAGTCTAACTGAATAGAGACTTTTATCGTTATTTGTTTTATAACTTTCCATAGATGCATGGATACAAGCTGGTGGCTTTTAATAAATGGTTTCAAAAAGCACCATCATAACTGGCATTAATTTATAGTTTTCTTATCAATTTCTGCAGAGAAACTAGTATTTTAAGTCAGTGTTATGACCCATGATACCAGTACATAGCAGGGAAGGTTCTTACGGTTTCTGTGCTTTGTTGGTCTCTGGCAGTGTTTCTAAGGATTTTCAAGAGAGCAAATTATTTGGGTAATTGAGTTGGGGCATTATAAAAAAAGAATTTGTATCAATATCAATCTACTTTATAGCACATGTATGTGTGATTTTTTTATTTTTTTTTTTAATACTTCAATGAAATAAGTAGTACAACAACTGGAAACTGCCCTGTCATTCCAGGAAGAGCTGCGTCCCCAGTTTGAAGCTAAATATTCCCAAGTGGAAAGAGTAAATCCCATCACAGGAAAACCTGAACCTTTTCAACCTTTCCCTGATAAACTCAGTCGACTGATGGTGTCTGTCTCAGGAATATTCTTCATGGTAATGCCTAATGATATTGGAATTATCGTAGCCATTAATCTTAATCTGATGTAAATAGTAATGCAAGTCATGAGTGGATTCATTAAGATTAGTGGATTTACATAATATAGGCAAAACTGATTGTCTCTGTCTTACTGATGTTTATGGATCTCTTTCTTTTAAAAGATGTAATGCAGTTGCATTGTAAAAGGACAGTAAAGAAATGCTTTAATTCAGCAATCTGGTATTTTTGCTCTCTCAGTCTAGTCACCAAAACAAACAGCAATCTTTAAAACACTTGTTAATTTATTAATTCAGTGGAAATTATTTCAGAATCGGTTTATTGTGTTCTAATATCTCTATTCATAAACACCTATAGATTTCACTGGTCCTCACTGCAGTGTTTGCCGTTGTGGTGTACCGTCTGGTAGCTATGGAACAGTTTGCTTCTTTCAAGTGGTATTTCATCAAGAAGTATTGGCAGTTTGCAACATCTGGCACTGGAGTCTGTATCAATTTTATGATCATCATGTCACTCAATGTTGTAAGTCTTCTTTTAAAGGAGGGAATAATTTAAAAGAGTAATTTTTACTGTATATCAGATATATACATGTTCTTGCTTATTCATATAGCAGTGCCTGAAGCTAGTATTTCAGGGGTTTTTCCTCTTCTAACACTATGTTTGTCAATATTTTTCTCTACTGCCTGTTCTAATTTGTCACTACACATCTTTGCTTATATCACCAAGTCACAGTGGTAGAGACTACTGCTTTCTACATTTGCTTTTTCTTTTTTTATTACCTTTTACAATGCATCTCTAAATAAAATTTCATTATTTTCTTGGTTGAGAATTTTCTGTTTTGTTTTTTTTTAATTGATAACTTTGAAATCTTCCCTTATGTAAAATGCAGCTGTGATATCAGTGTTGCACAACCCTAGAAACACTGTGATACATGATTTTGGTTTAAGCTTTTCCTGTCATGTAACAGCACGGGTTTAATCATTTGCTGTGGTAGCACGATGTACATTGATATGAACTCTATTGTTCAGCTGCAATATAATTTATCATTTTTCTATTCCCATGCAGGCACAAACAGGTAAAAAGGAATAATGGCATAGCAAACAATTGCTTTTAATTCTGTTAAGGAGATTGTACACTCGTTGCAATAAGAAAGCATTCTTCGAAACAAACTGTCATGTATTTGTTTCTGTTATTATATATGATAATTCTAAGTCATAAAAAGTACATTCAAGTGAACAAGCACAGCAAAGCTACTGAAAATAGCTTGCTATTAATAGTAAATACTCAAGGAAGTATTTTTCAGAGTTGGTAACTACCTTGGGCTAAGTGTTGTTTAAAATAAAGACCAGAGATAATCAATACATAGACAGATAAGAAAGTTTTCAGTTGGAAAACCCCACCGGTATGCACATGTGTGCAAAGGAAAATGGTATTGTGGTAAGGCTTTTGTCTGCTTTTAGATCACATAGGTTTGTTCCTGAAGTTAGAGGATAAGCATCTAACAGCTCATTAAGAGCTCCTGTGCTTTTGATGCTTTTTTTTTCATTCTGGATGTGACATCACAGCAGGCATGATGGGCTACACTTACACCATCTCTTGTTTCTGTTTTAGGTATATGAAAAGGTTGCCTATCTCCTGACAGACCTAGGTATGTAGGTCTTTACGAGTGGTATGGTTCTTGCTAGCTGTGGCATATACGTTTATATTTCCATAAAATAGGATTTTGAAAACTTCATCTATGCGTAGTATGATACTGGCATTTCGCTAAGCAAGTGAGAAATATCAGAGAAAGAAATGTTATGATTATTTCACTAAGGAAATAATAGAAAAGAAAGGAATTTATTTACTTCTACCTTTTTTTTCCAATGTTTTATAGTATAAATTGAAAAAAAAGTTATGTTATAATGGAACAAAAGTCAAAACATACTTTTCCTTAGAATGCTAAAACAGATTTTTTCCATTCTTCCCAAATGTTTGGTTATCTTTTGTACAGTTTTCTAATTTGAACATTCATGTGGAGAAATAGGTTAAGTTAAAATTACATTGTCCAAGAGAAAAATGTTGCCATAAATTTTACAGTAGCTCTAATTCTGTCACATTAAAAATTTATACTGAAGCCTCTAGTCATGTTTCAGTCATAGAGGTAAAGCTTTCTTTACAAGAAAGCAAAGACAGCATTTAAGATACACTATGTGTGTATATTGTCTTTTAGTGTTTCTTCTTACATGCTCTCTTTTAGCCCGTATCAAAATATGCAGTTGATCTTCTCATAGTTTAAAAGCAATCTCGCTGCTTAAATTTAACATCTCCCTCTTCTGGTTAAAGTATTGAAGAGCATGCATTAAGCACGATGCTCAAAACTTTATAGTATTTCAGATAACAGGCAGTTAAACAGGTTAGAAAGATTCAGAATATATAGTCAACTTATTCAAATTATTCAAATATTTTAAAATATTTTTTCAGATCACACTGATTTGTATTCCTACTTAACTTTTAAATATATTGTTACAGACCAGGGAATGGGAAAGAAAATAATGATTTTATTTAAGTATACAAGCTGATTTCTCCCAAGATATATGAAAAAAATTAAGTTTTGAATTAAGTCTTCTTGAATTAAGCATGATGGAGCATCAGGTGTTTGAGCTAGGCAGCTCACTCCACTTTGTAAAGTGTTTTACATCAAAGAGGACAATCCTAACTTCTGAGCAACGTGTCCATATGTAAAGCTACTGTCCTGTACATTTGTATCCTATTTAGTCATCATTAGACCAAAGTAAAGTAATACAAATTTTAACTGAAAAATCCAGGCAGTTTAGACTTCCAACTCATATGTGCTTTAAAACTTTTATTGATATACTATATTCCAAGTCTGATACTCCATCAAAGAAATTTGAAACTTTTATAAAAAAAACAAAATTAATTTTAATCATTATCACCAAATTCTAATTCAGACATAAATCCTGTTCTACAGACCATAAGAAAAAACATCCAAGGCAGTGCAGACCCACACAGAATACTTGTAGCCCTACAACACATTTCTACATTTCTTTCAAAAAAAAAAAAAAAAAAAAAACAAAAAACCCAAAAAAAACCCCACCACCAAAAAAAGAAAGAAGGACCTCCATCCTTTCCTTATTGCATTATAAACTGTTTAACACTTGACAAGTATTATGATAGGGAAGTCTTGCAGATGAAGTAGTGGTCTTAGAGAAGTATTTAGAAGGCGAGATGCTTGGGTGACAAACCAACTGGCTGTTGGTTGTCTCTTTTCCCTCTGCTTTCCTTGGCAGCCCCTGTCTGTTGCTCTGCTGATGCCAAGTGCTTTTGCTTTTTCTTGGGGTTTTTTGTTGTGTTTTGTGTTGTGGTTTTTTGTTTGGGTTGGGTTGTTGGTTTTTTAAATTTTTAATCAAGATACTTGTAGCCTTAAAGATTCACACTGAATTCAGAACTTTTTTCATGGAAATGGAACAGGTATCTTCCCACAGAGTTGTGACCTATTCTGTACCGAGGGGCTTGTATCTCCTGTTTCCAGATAAAACCAACATAGTCTGAGCTGAGGCAAAGGTTTTGTGGCCTGCAGACTGAACGCTCTGAGAAAAAAAAATTGATTGCAACCTGATGGGGCACCGTGACTTGAAACCATCACTTGTTTTGTTAGTGTTGATTCATCTGCGAGCAAAGTTAGGCATAACTCGATTTCATTCTTGTTTATATAATGTATATTGTGTCTTTCCGCAGAGCACCCTAGAACAGAATCTGAATGGGAAAACAGCTTTGCCTTGAAAATGTTCCTCTTCCAGTTCGTCAACTTGAACAGCTCCATCTTTTACATTGCCTTTTTTCTGGGCAGGTAAGTTATCTTTGCTAACC